GTCGTGCTACAGTCGTGCTACAGTCGTGCTACAGTCGTGCTACATGTCGTGCTACAGTCGTGCTACAGTCGTGCTACAGTCGTGCTACAGTTAACATGAGCATCATGATAACACGAGCATCATGTGTTACGCCTGTGATGCTAAATCAACATTATCTTTGCTGTTCTCCGTCTTTATACTCAGAAAAATGAACCGGTCGTTGTGTCCAAACAGTGACCGACTTTCTTACCCACAGCACCAGCAGAGAGCTGAAGTAACAATGATTAGCTCTTTTGTGGAACCAACCTGGGTCAGGATGACTCACTCAAGGCAGAAAGTGCACCACTATTCGGGCAAGACATTTATTTATTTGAGTGTTTGTCGTCCATGTTTAAACCTAACTAGAAGAAGCGGTTAGGTTTAAATTTTAATGACATTTCCGTGAGTGCTCCACGGGGCTTAATCTCTTTAATCTTGTAATCCTGTGTTATTGATTCTAATAATCCTATGTTATTGAAATTGGTTCCAATCTGGGTATCAGTAAGGTTCATTATGGTTCAATGGTTGATTATTTACTATAGCGCAATACTTAGATACTTAGAACAAGAGTGGTTACGATTTGTATAAAAAAACTGTACTCGGTTTCACGGTGCAACCATTATTGATTCGAATATTGGTTAAGGGTTTTAGCTGAATTGGTTTAGCTTGCTCTATGAGCAATTAAATAATATTTGCAGACTGATATAAAATTATCAACTGTTCTAATAATATCTGATAGACTAATATATAATAAGGAAATGTTCTAATAATAATTATAAGCAAATATATAGTTAGCAACAGTCGTGGCACTTAGTCTTGACTGACAGATCAGTCGTGATTCGTGAGTCCTGCAGTGTGGGGCGTGGAGTGTACGTTACGTTGTCTAGCTTAGTGATAATTAGACTGAACGTTCTATGAATTATATATTGCATAAAATATGTACAATATATGGTGTACAAATATATGAAGTATATTGTCTAAAAAAATAGAATGTGCACCATGAGGATTGTAAGTTATGCCAGAGCAGAGACGGGTTCATTACCAACACAGTGCAGGCTTCATGCTGTTAGTCACGTGAGCTGCCGGAGACGCTGCCTCGCTAGTGCCTAGTGGCAACTCATAAACACGAGTGTTGGCTGTGTTGCCAGCAGGGTAGTGAGTGTTGACTGTGTTGCCAGCAGGGTAATGAGTGTTGCCAGCAGGGTAATGAGTGTTGCCAGCAGGGTAGTGAGTGTTGGCTGTGTTGCCAGCAGGGTAGTGAGTGTTGGCTGTGTTGCTATCGGGCTAATGAGTGTTGGCTGTGTTGCCATCGGGCCAGTGTTGCCATCAGCTGGCGCGCGTTGCCATCAGCTGGCGAGTGTTGCCATCAGCTGGCGCGTGTTGCCATCAGCTGATTTATGATGACATGCACCGCGGCGCCTCCCGCCAAAACGTTCACGCGACGAATTGAGGTGGCGTTGAAGGGGTGGGGGAGGGACGGGGTGGAGGGTGTGGGGGCGCGGTGGGGGGTAACGTAGAAGGAGGCAAAGGGTGCAAAGAAAGAGAAAGATATTACCTAGGAAAGAAGTGTTAAATCGTAAATTTGCTGGAATATTTGGTTTGTGAGATATATAGCATCGTGGAGAGATGAAATGCACAATTCTTAGTAAAGAGGTAAACAATAACGCAGCAATCACTGTAATGTAAGTAACATCTATTGCAATATGCATCGCAGAAGATCGGTTCGTTTTATCAGAATTGCGCAAATATTTATGTTAGTTATAAAACATTAACTATTTATAAATATGTTGGTATTATTCAAAATTATAAGATCAGTTTTTTTATCAGTATTGTTTGAGAATAAGACTTTCTAGTTCTTTAATTAACGAGAGGAAATAAATGAGCCAAAACTTTTCCCGCTGCAAGCGACTGTCCGCTTGACCACCAGATCCATAGCTAACCCTGACGACAGAAAAAAAAGAGTCGGTGTATTTTTTGTGTGTGCATTCAAGGACGTCAGAATCACTTGGCTGACCATATCTCAGGCTTTACCGTCTTGGAAACGTTTGGTGTCGGTAATTGGTAGTGACTGGGTGACCTTCAAAGCCGAACGTTTGTGGGAGCATGTGTGTTTGACCCTCGCACACACGCCTCTTTTAGCTTTCAAGAAACAATCGACGCTATTAAAGACCCGAGGCAGGCAGTCACTCGGTGTTTTGTGTAGAATCTCTAAAGACTAACTTCTTGATGTACTAAGTAGGTTCCTATTTCATATATTGATAATTCAGAATCATATTTATTGGAATATGTATATGTATTCATATCATCAATTTGATGTGAATGTCATTTAGTTATTCCTTTCAGGCTGTGAGTTGAAGTGCAGTAAAAATTCCCTCCAGATGTGTTAGGCAAGCCGCACCGCTATTGTCATTGGTTGGCGAGCACTGGAGGCGAAGTCTGGTTGGTTGAAAGTGAGGCGTGCACGTGATTGGAGCATCGCGTCACAGTCTAGAAAAAGCACGGTTCTGATTGGCTGGATGACGCACCGGGAGAGAGCGTGTTAGCCAATCGCACGACTCGCGTCCAACACCGTTGCCGTAGCCTTGTTCAGTTCTAGCCATGGCTGCAAACATGAAGGATCCTAGAACGTTCTTTACCTCAGGTACTCCTGCTCAGTACGAGTATGTGTACAATTTATACGAAGAAGCTGTGAAATTGAAGGCTATTCAGAAGAACAAAAAAGTCGCTGATTATTTAAAGCTTGATAAATGGTAAGAAATAAGTTTCATATGTGAAGTGAAGGTTTTCAAGAAGTGTGGTCGAGATTGGTGACGGGTGAACGATAACGTAAGATGGTGGATGTGCAGGTTGCGGAATACGAGTTTTTCAGTTGTAGTATCTCTGATGTTGACTTAATTGACTGAAGATTTATCTCGCATGAACGGTCTATTCTATTATATTTATTGAGCTAATGTTTAGAAATTAGAAGACTTGCGTCAACGTGGCGTCGTGCTGCCATCTCGTGGCGTTTGTTGCGAGACTGCAGCCGCCAGCCTCTATCATGGCGGAGATTCTCTCAATATTGACAAAAATTTCATAACCATGTGGACTCATGTGGTCATATACTGATATTATGGTCAATCATTTCTCTTTTTTTTTATTATTTTGAGTACATTAAACTCTGATATTGTCATTTCGGTTAGGTATCCTCAGATTTACCAGACGGCCGACAATCCAACGTGTCTGGTTAGAAAGTTAAAAATGTATATATTCACCTTGAGTTCTACCTATTTGATCCTTTTGATACCAAGTCATGACATTCACTTTGCTCTTCAATTTATTATTTTATACAAGTTATTGAATATTGACCAGAAGTTCAAAACAGGCAGAACTAGAGTTACTAGACTGTCCATACTCTATGGTCTAGGCTAGGCTAATTGACCTTAACTAAGTTAACTGGGTTCATGAAATCATGAAGCTGTGTCAGTGTGTGCAGCTCTTGCCAAGCTTTTTCTCACATGACTTAATAGAATATCAATATGGAACAGAAACTAAAAATGTATATCTTTGCTAAAAGTTACTGTAAGATGAATTTTTTCTTATTTAATTGTTAATAAAATTTCATGAACAAGCCATACAATTTTTGGCAGTAATTTGGAAGCCTTTTCTAAATATGACACCAAATGATAATAACATACTACCTAGCTAAATTGATAATGCCTATCCAATCTGATCAAAATTTTAAAAATTCTAGGAATCCTTCACCCATACTATTCAATTATGATTTTGTTCAGAGGTTGAATAAATGAACTGGCACATGTAATATCTTTGGACAAGATTTTTTGTAGGGATCATTGTTTGTTGCCCATGTTGGTATCCAAAAATTAGATGGTATGCAATGAGAGCTGCTTTTTATTATGCACTGGGAATGAAATATGGTATCTGAGCATTAGCAAGTAACTGGGTTGCCATTATAACTCCATGCTCGACACCATCACCATCCAATTTGGAATGCCCGTTACATTTTTTACTGAAATTGCAAGGCTAAATGATGATTTCTTGAGTGTTCTTTGGAAAATGATCAGCAAAAAAAAAATTTTTTTCATGAATGGCACTTTAGAAATTGTCAAAGGTGCTAGAAAAATGGATGAAGTTGTCTATGATCATGGGCATTTTTGTATCATTCACGGGTAGCTTTAAATTTGGTGCACGCCAAACAGAGGCTTGAGCTGGAGCATTTAACTGTAGTTGGGTTTCAACAGAGCTATTTTATTGAGTGTTAGTCTGTTAGATAAATTTTGAACCTACTTGCAGTGAAATTTATGTCAGAAAACCAGAAAACTTTGGAGGTGTGGGAAAAGTAGAAAAACTCTGGGCTTATGGATACTTGGATGAAGTGTTAGGTACTCATCATCAAAATTATCATGCATAAGATTATGCTAGAAGTTGTTAAGCAGCTAAAGTGTTTTAAAAAGAATATCCACTAAAAAAATTTTGAAGAATGCATAAGTATTTTCTCGTATTCTTTTTGGGAATCACCTACGAAACTGTCCTCAACTCGTGCTGACTAAACTATTGACGTGCCTCAACTTGATACATATATGCCCGATTCCCTAGTCTCTATGTGAAGTCTAGCATTAGTAGTTTCATTCCCTTTTAAATATTTTGTGCTAAAAATTTAGACTTTCTGGAAATGGTGTGCAGTCGCGTGTAAACATATTAAGTTGTTTTAAAAGTAAAATATGGTTACACTATCTACCTGTGTTCCCTTGGTTGTAAAATTTGCAAAGTTTTGCTCTTTATCATAAATATGGATTATGTAGAACTAGAAGCATGCATAGTGGAATCTGGTAACATTATTTGGAAATTTAAACTATATTTTTTTTGTTTAGGTAAATTTTTTATTAATTTATGTATAATTTTAAATGAACATGACATTGCAATTGAATGCAAGTTATCATGTTCAGGCATGAAGTTTAATCAAGAGCAAACAAAACTTTTTCATCATTGGGTAAAAGTGGTGCTGCGTGGTTCTGAAGCCAGAAATTTTAATCATACAAGGTGCCCCTTGTCTATCATTGTGCCTATTTTGCCTCACATTGCTATCTTGGCTATTCAAATGACTTGGCCAGTCAAAAGTGATCTACAGCTAAAATTAATAGCCCATAAACAAGATAATAGGTGGTAGGTTATTCTACAGTTCTGTTGCAACATGATTCTACCAATTTGCTCAGTATTGTATGGTTGTTTGAATGCAAAATAGCATTAGCATCCATTGTACTCTACAACTGGTCAAATTAAATGAGAATTAAAAATTGCTTGGTCACCAATATGTAAATTAGTCACCTCTATTATGACCAATTTAAGTACTTCCTACCATTATCAAATTCTGATGATAGATCATAAACTTGAAAGGAGTTCATCTTAGAATTTTTGAATTTTCAGTAGACTGAAAATGTGACTGAGGCAAAATGGGAAACCTGTTATTTGGGAAAATTAAATCCTGTTGAAAATTCATTTATTATAATAACATGTATGCTGTCTAAGCAAATGTGGATGTTATATTATGCGTTTTTATTGCTAGATGAATTTATAGTTCTTGATGATTGATTGATATTTTCCTAGCTAAAGAAGATTTATTATCAAGTCTACAGTTGTTTAATTGTGGTAATGTTGCAGGTGTGAATGATTTGTGTTATGTAGGGTTAAAGTTTTTGTTCTTCATGAAATTACAACTTACAAGGTCATATTCATGTTTGAAACAGCTCGTTTTTTATTTTAATTTTTCTTTCTTAATGCCAAGCATTTAGAAATAAGCCTGGGTGCAATTATTCCCCACGAATATAAAGTTTTCTATAAATATCTAATTGTTTCAGATTGCCTTATTAATGATTTACCATCCATTTCAGGTTTCAGAATGAGCTGCCAAAAAGAATAAAGTCTCGTGGAAAAGACGCTCATCTCATCCACGAGGAGCTGGTGCAGTGCATGAAATGGAAGCTCGCAAGAGGAAAGTTCTCCCCAAGAATAAAAGATTTGGTGCAGATGAACACACCTCGTCTTTGCATCACAGAAACTAAGAAGGCTTTCAGGGCCTTGCTCAAGAAAGATGACTTATCCTCTGCCATACAGGCCCTCTGTAACCTCAAAGGAGTGGGGCCAGCCATGGCGTCTGGTGGGTCAATGCTGTCATTTGTGTTATATTGACGTCTCTTATGGGTTAATGTGAAATATTCTGAGTTCTGCTTTATCGAGGCTTCTCATGGACCGATAGAAATGATAGTATATGATCTCATTTCATGTCACTGATTTTCTAGAAACTGGAAGTTGCATTTGTTTCTGTATGCCTATTGGACTGAAGTGTTTTAAGAATGTATGAAAATAAGTGACTTAACTACTGATATACTGATATATATATATATAATGACTAATTGCTTGACGTGTGTGTACATTTATATATAGCATTGCACATGCCTAGCTGACAAGCTGGCTTCAAAGTCAAGGCATTTCATAAAGGAATAAACTTGATTTCAATGCATTGAATTGTAACAATATTTGTGTTGGTTTCAGTTATGCTGACAGCAGCTGATGCCGAGCAGTGTGGCTTCATGGCAGACGAGTGTCTGCTTGCCATCCCTGAGATTGAGAGCATCGACTACACCACCAAAGAGCTTCTCAATTTTGTCGACCAACTTAAATCTGCTGCCACCAGGCGAGTTTTGCGTGTTTGTGTTCCAGCCTGGCAAGTTAAATAAAGGAAAATTGTTGCATTTATGCAGCCATTTGCACCGAGACAATAGTTGATCTGAAAGAATAGTGAGTTTTGCGTGTTTGTGTTCCAGCCTGGCAAGTTAAATAAAGGAAAATTGTTGCATTTTTGCAGCCATTTGCACCAAGACAATAGTTGGTCTGAAACTTGATATCTTGCTGCAATGGAGTTTGAAATTATATGCCAATTGTAATCTTGATGATTCCTTCCATCAAAATTCGTGATACTATTGACAACAGCTGTGCTTGCTCAGAAGAGTATATAATGTGAATTTACTAGATTTTGTGTTGTTAATCTATCATTTGAAAGGCTTCAAAATATCAGTCAAAGTTTTAAAGCTGATCAAACATGCCTTCGTGTTCATTAGAGTTTCTCTACGATAATTTAATAAGTTCTACTTTATAAAAGTTTAATTTAGATGAGTTTTTGGTAAGCAGTAAAAGTTAGATTTATGATTGATTGTTGGCGGTGGTCCTGCCCTGTGTTTTGTTTCTAGAAAAATTATTCACGAAACAAAATCTCTCTTTGGAGAGTAAATAAAATGAAGTTTGGTTCTTCACTGCTTGGATTTTTAAAATCCAGTATTTGCTAAGTCTATATTCACTTTACTCAAAGGTTTTTCTTGTAATCTTTGTTATTTAGAGCTTTTTTAAAGCAATATAAATATAGCTCTCAAGACTTGATTTGTTAGTACTCTCCAAGATATTTCTTGCAATGTTTGTAATGTAAAAAGTTTATAGAGCAATATAAACAAATCTCTCAAGATATGTTTATACTCTCCGAAAAAGATATTTCTCAGTGCTAAATAATGAAATTGCATGAGTTATTCAATAATTATAATGATCAACTGTTCAGTATTAACGATAAAATAATATTTCAGGCTGAACAACAGTGGAGGTAGCGGCTGGAACGCGCACAAAGTAGAGCAGGCGCTGTGGGCGCTGTTCGTTCTCAACGACAACAAGAAGGAGCTGCTCGACGACATGCCTTCATCTGATGTCGCTGCCTCGTCCTCCTCCTCACAACCTGCTGAGAACGGCACCGATGCTCCTACACACAAAAATGTTAGTACAGTCGCATTTATTTTTAGCGCATTTTCTCATTTATGGAAAAATGCACTATTGTGCTCGCCATGTCCGTCTGTCTATCCGTCAGTCTGTCTGTCCGTCCGTAACTTCACGTTTTCGTCGACGAGCAAATGCGCTCTCTGTCACTCACTGCAGTGAGTACTGAGTTATATTTTTTTTAAATTTTATTGGTCAACACCTGAGGAAAACGTTCATGTTGTTTGTTGTTTTTTTTTACTGTCTTTAGGTTGGGAGAAAGGTTAGTCTCATTTCTTTTTAGCGCATTTTCTCATTTATGGAAAAAATGCACTATTGTGCTCGCCATGTCCGTCTGTCTGTCTGTCTGTCTGTCTGTCCGTCCGTCCGTCCGTGACCTTAAGTTTTCGTCGACGAAAAAATGCGCTCTCTGTCACTCACTGCAGTGAGTACTGACTTATATTTTTATTTATCAGTAGCTTATGAAAATATTAGTCTCGTGTTTTCCGCTTCAGCCATTGCACGTGAGTGATTACAAACAATGTAACAATCTTCATGTTGAAAGTCGTGTTAAGTGAATTGCTGGTAATAATCTTAGCAGAACTGTTTTGGTCTATGACCTCTTCACCTCTTATTGAATTCATAAGAGGTGAAGAAACAAAATAATTGTTCAAATTTCGGGTTAGATATTTATCAACTGTAAATGACCATCCGGGGAATATTTTCTTAGAAATTGTTTTGAGGTTCCGACTCACTGCTTATACTTCGTCATGTCTAGTGGATATCCAAGCTAGTGATGTACAGGGCGATTCACAGAAACTCCCTGATTTTAAAGCTCAATAAAAAAAGAGGTACGAAAGATATCATTACAATAAAAATTTTATTGAAAAATACATTACCTAAATTTTTGTATCACTTAGTTTTAAAGACGGCATCAGAAAAATGATGGCCTCCATTGTCAATGCATTCAGTTAGTCAATTTTTGAAGTTCCGTTCTTTTCGCTGAAGCATACTGATGAATATGTTGGCGATGTCTTGTCATATGATTTCATGAAATGAAGAGCGAATATGGAACCGAGTAAGAATGCTAGTTGAGTAGCGATAATGGAACGGTCATTGAAGTACGCCTCAGCACAATTTGCATGCTGCTCACTTGTCTAATAAATAGTGGCAACCGACAAGGCGGGACTCAAAACCATGACCTTGCCTTTTCATATGAAATACTCCCGCCCTTTTCCTACAACATTTGGCTGCTTGTTGCCAAATACAAAAACGGGAAGTTTCCGTGAATCACCCAGCACAACCTTCTACATTTAATATGCATTCTGCTGATTAGAAATCTTTGTAATCTTCGACTGTGAACATTGAACGCATATCGATTCACTACCTGCCCTGCCAGATATTCACCGCTCTGTTCGTCCCATACTATTCTAATTGTTTTATTTGTTAACTATTAGTTTGCAAAGTTTTTCACTCACTAATTTATATTTTTGAATGGCAGGGGGACAACGAAAGCAGTTCAGATTCCGCCGATAGCAACGCCAACAAAGAGAACGTGACTCGCAACGGCGCCCCGAGACCCGAAGATGACTCCAATGATTCGCTACCGTCCGCGGCGCCCGCCACCAACGACACTAAAATGCTCGGTGTTCAGGAAGACACAAATGACTCGGTTGCCAGTAGCGCCTGCAGCAGCAGCGGTGGTGCCCAGCGGCCCGAGGATGATGAAGATCTCGACAGTAAAGGGGAAGAGGATAGTATGAACGCCGTCTCGCCTTCCAACCAAATATCCGAGGACACTAATGACTCTGTTACGGCCGCTGCTTCTCTCACCAATGGCAGCAACGGCGCCTCTAAACCTGCACAGCCACTCGATGACGACGACAATTCACTTCCACAAGCTGTTGACAAAAACGAATCCCAAGACGCACTTCATCCTCCCTCTCACGAGGCACCATCAGCTGAAGAAGAACCTGCTGCTAAGAAAGCCAAGCTAGCCGAGTAATTATTTAATTAGTATTTATATTTATAAAACTTGATAGAAAAAATTCATAAAAACTAATCATTTAGTAGTGCTAGTGATGAACCAATTATTTCTTTTTTTAGATTTGTACAGCACTGTGGGTTATCACGAAATAGAAGTGTGGATGCTATTTTTGTATGCGCTTTCTCTATTGTTACGAAAATAACTGGCAGGTTCATTGCGCTCCTCGTCGACTGAAAACTTCCCTTCTTTATAAACACCAGAATTTCCGTTTCTAAACCTTCAACCATGCCTTCGTTTCTGCCAACCAATTAGCAACTAGTGTGAGCTTCTGTGCAAAAATCGTGACCGAGTACTTCTGCCTAAAAAATGAATTTACATGCTTATCATTGTGCTGTGCTCGCAAGGTCTATTGAATTTAATGTTTTCTCTCAGTTGCTCCTCTGCTGTAGAAGTTCGGATAATGGCATTACTTTGAGGTTCTACTGAACTATTGATAACTACATTCCACTTCTACTGCTCTCAGTCGTTTCTTAATTCAGCCTGCCTGCCCTCCTTGGCTTTGCATAACTGAATTTTCATCTAACTATTGCGTTGCCTGATATTGACTTGCATTATTGAAAAAAAAACTATCATAAATTTGGTGACTTATTTTTATTTTAACAAAAAAAAAATAATACAGAGAGATAATCTTTATTATTGTGTTTGCATTTCAACAAATCGTAATTCAAAGTAAAATGACTTGAAGAACGTAGTATTCGGCTATGAAATGCACCTGGGGTATGAACTTGACGTTATCTTGATCCGCTTCGTCTTGAGCTGATATTTACTGGGAGACCTAAGATGTTAGCTTTACTTCAGTAGTTTCAATTTTATTTTCTTCTGCGTGGACGTGCACTCACGTCCTAGATTCCAACAGAGATAAGAGCTTTCTTGCTGTGGGTTCACAATCTTGGTTTCTCAAAATGAATGAAACTTACGAAAGCGCGTATCTTTTACTATTATGTTTGCAGTTCGATTTTTAAATCAAAGTTCCATAGCTATTATATCCTAAGTTTCAGCTTGAGATTTTGTATCACGTCACCTAGTAATGTCATCTCATTTACTCGCTAAAATTGTGTTCCAAGAAATTTGTTCGCGGTTTCCCTCAACACGATGCGGACCAAGCCAAAGCTAGCGTCATAATCTGTGATCATGGGTGCTGGCGTGAGCTAATTTCTCCCACAAATGCTTTGATTTTTATGTAATTTTCGTCCTGGGGAGGTAGGATGTCGCGCTCGTTGGTGGTTGTGCACAGTCTGTCAGTGACGAGGGTTGTGCACAGCCTGTCAGGAGGCGAGATGACGAGACGCGAGTTCCTCTCACGAGAGCGACTTTGTGCTGAAGGACAGCATGTCTTTTTTTTTTTTTATGCTGTCGTTAATAACGTCACATTTTGATCGATTAGGTGTACATAAGTGATGTTACTGTCGTTCTTTCGTCCTGGGACTCTCGGGACAATCAACTTTCTACTTTCATCATCCGTCACTTCCGGGGCGCTGTTTGGGCGAACTAATTTTTTAAGCGATTATAGCACGCCGAGTCGGCTCGGTTATTACAAAAGTAAATTCAGTGTCTTGATAATGAACTCTAATAATAAAATGATTCTTTTTGATTTAAGATACCTTGCTAACCGTTACGGTGGTCATAGTAATTTAGGTCTTATTCTGATTATTGACGTTAAGATGATGTTTGATACTGTATGTAACAACCATGGATGATAATAAAATGAGCGTTGAACTGTTTTTTTTTATCATCTCTCTTGCACTAAATCGCACGTTGCAATGTTACATCACAAATGGAAGTAATTTCACAAGAAAGCGCGGTTGAATATAAGCTCGACTTGAACGCTCCTCATTAGTGTGGATTTTTCGATTCAGTTCAGTTAGCAACTTTCATCATCTCGGCTGAGCCTCAATAGTAAAAAGAAAATTCATGGTGACAGTAGTAATTTGTTACCTCATTGTTTCTGCACGATATATCAAGACAAAAAAAAAAATGATTCAAATGGCCATATAGCGTGAGCATGAGTGGATGTACGATTAGATGCCAACAACTTTGATGGGGGGCAAGAAATTGATAGCACGAGTCAGGTTAACCTGATATCTGTCACGATCAACGTTGGTAATGAGCTACGAGCTAACGTGGTCTCAAACAGTATATATGTAGTTAAAACACTGATGAAAATTACTTTAATTTATTTAGGAATGCATCACAATTGGAAGCAGCATCTACGACTGTTTAAGGGACTTACGACCGTGACGATGTCTCACTGAAAGCTGGCTTCCGACGTCACTAACTCGAATATCATTTCATATATACTATCTGAACTGTTCATGGAAACTACCACCACCTACAGCTAGTGGTAGCTCATCTCTTAAGCCGTTGAGAGTCGCATACCATCGGTAGAAGCTACCATGACCAGGGACGTGGTTACGAAGGGTAGAAGCTACCATGACCAGGGACGTGGTTATGAAGGGTAGAAGCTGCCATGACCAGGAATATGGTTACGTGGCAGAGGTTCAGGTATCACTGCTCGGGGCGTAAGGCCTTCCTTGTTGACGATGCTGTCGTCGGCGCCGTGCTCCAGCAGCAGCTTTGCAACTTCGGTGCGCTCTTCTTCACAAGCCAGGTGGCTGCACATGGAGCAACTGGGTCAGAATGACTCACATAATGGCTAAAATAACATCTATTTCGGGCAAAGCGTCCTCATTCCTTAGGCTAACATACTAACATAAGTCAGAATGTAGTGGCAAAGAATTTGTTGACTCGGTTCCATATTCATTATTCTAGTGGTATTGCGAATTTCCACTAAAAAATACATGGTAAATGCAAAGCTTCATGTTGTGGCTTCAGATCACTTCTCGGTTGCTGTGGTCAGAGTTAAATCTTACTGGAGTTCACAGGGCCCTAAACTCTTAGCAGGACGTAATGAAGGCAGGTTTGCGGTCATGAGATACCATCACAAAAGCTGAAAAGGATTTGCATTTTGCGATTTTTGAATGAAAAGCCCTCACAATTTTCACGTACACTCGGAAAATGTCCAAATGGTTATACCCTTTCTGCACGTAGCACTGATACGCACTTTTGTCAGACTGGACTGGTTCAGAGTGACTCACCACAAGGACAAAAAGTGCATCGCTGTTGATACAAAATCTCGCTCATTATCTCTGAGTGTAAGATCTTTTCGTAAGTTCTGAAGGCTATTATGATCAGTCAAGTGAATGACGGAAACCTGTAAAATAACTCAACTGAGAAGAATATTAAAATAAAAGCAATCCGTTCATTGCATGAGGCGAGTTAAAATATTTCAAAATTGCAAAGTCGTTGCCAATATTGCTGTAAATTTTACAAGAAATCCCTAGAGGTTAAAGGCGTCAGATGCAAGAGTGAGGCTGGGCGAGTATTACCGGGAAAGTTTTCTAAAGTGAAATTTAAGAATTACAACTTTGAAGGAAATACATATTAGGTTTCAAAAAAAAAAAAAAATATCTTACCTGATAGAGTCACAATTCGATTTAAAAGTGAGTTGTCATCGCCTAGAATTAAAAACCCATAATTGAAGTTCAGCAATAATCTATGGGTGAACTCAAACATATCCCCAGAGAGGTGATTACTTGATTAATTTATTATGAAATTATCTCTCGACTTACGTAAATTCAATACCAAAACGGAACAAATTCTCCGTCATGTAACGTTTTGTCGAACTTGAACATGAATCTGAATCGCCTAGCTTATAAAAAAAAAATTGACCAATTCTACCCATTTTTAATGTCTGATAACTAAATTAAAAATTAAAATCCTATTAAACAACTTCAGGTCATTTTGGATGGCATAAAATTAAATCATATCATCTCTCAAATAAGCAATGAAACAAAATTAAACTCATTTCAACCCATTCAAACTCTCAATTATTAACTTAAAAAGTTGTAACTGGACTGTTTTGACACAGTGAAGCTTGACCCCCAAATGTGGATTGGTTAAAAAATCCTGCCCTAACAAGTGATTCATTCTTACAATAAAAGGCTGAAAAAACCCTCACAATTAAATCCTTCTCAATTGTCTCATAATATCTCAACCCTGAAGCGTGTCCATATGGGTTTGGCCCTAGGCGTCTTGCAGGTAGGGGTTAACGGGGTTATATTCCAACCACAATTAAACCATAATATTTCAACCCTAGAGCTTCTCATACCATGGGGTGTTTCCCTGGGTGGCCTGCAGGTTGGGGTTGATGGGGTTATATTTCAACCACAATTAAACCATAATATTTGAACCCTGAACCTCATCCTTACAGGGGGGTGTTGCCCTGGGCGTCCTGCAGGTTGGGGTTGATGGGGTTGTGGCGCAGCAGTTCGTCCACGACGCGCGCGTGGCCCTGAGCAGCGGCGCGGTGCAGCGCCGTCGCCCCCCGACGGTCGCGCGCGTTCACGTCGGCGCCCCCCAGCAGCAGGAACTGCACCACCTGCACCAGTCAAGGGGACGTGAAGGGGGACGTGAAGGGAGAAGTGAAGGGGGCGTGAAGGGGGCGTGAAGGGGGAAATGAAGCGAGCAAGAGAAAGGGGAAGCGAAGGGGGGCGTGAAGGGGGACATGCAGGAGGAAATGAAGCGAGCAAGAGAAGGGGGAAAGTGAAGAGGGCAAGTGAAGGTGGGAAAGTGAACGGGTTAAGAGGCAGTTAAAGGGGCAAGTGAAGGCAGTCAAATCTAGGGGGATTGAAGAGAGGAGTGAAGGGGGAGCATTTAAGATGTCAAGAGAAAGGGGCAGTGAAGAGAGCCATGATTTCCGAAATTAAGATGGATGACATTTGTGACCGTTCACGAACCATTCACAGGCTTTAAATTTCAGACTGTTAAGACGATTGTTGAGGGAAAAAAGAAATGATTACAGATAGAATGTTAAGATTAAAATGATGTTGGAATTATGGTAGAATGAAAGATGATTGTAATATAGTCACCATGAGAGGAAAATTATGATGACCCTTTGAGACATATACGATGGGAGAAAAAATAATCTGCAGCAACAAATATCTTCCAGAGGATAGGAAATTGTAAATAATGTCACATGAAATATGATAAATTTGCTTAAAGAAAGTATGAATTTTATTCTCACACATCTGTGTTGGGGAATTCATTTTATGTGTTTCCATTAATCCTTTCATTTCCTTTGATGCACTAACGTCAGCGGCAGTCATAGTACAACTGTAACCCCTAGGAAGATAGCACTAACGTCAACGGCAGTCATAGTACAACAGTAACCCCTAGGAAGATAGCACTAACGTCAACGGCAGTCAAAGTACAACTATAACCCCTAGGAAGATAGCACTAACGTCAACGGCAGTCATAGTACAACTGTAACCCCTAGGAAGATAGCACTAACGTCAACGCCAGTAATAGTACAACTGTAACCTCTAGGAAGATAGCACTAACGTCAACGGCAGTCATAGTACAACTGTAACCCCTAGGAAGATAGCACTAACGTCAACGGCAGTCATAGTACAACTGTACCCTCTAGGAAGATAGCACTAACGTCAACGCCAGTAATAGTACAACTGTAACCCCTAGGAAGATAGCACTAGCATCAACGGCAGTCATAGTACAATCGTAACTCCAAGAAAGATAGCACTAATGTCAACGGGTGTCGCAGTACATCTGTAACCCTGAGGAAGATAATACCAGGAATTGTGCTAATCACTTGGAAAGATATTGACAGAAAGTCATAGAGAGAGAAATATCGATTTAATTTTAATAGCAACGAAACGTTAAAAAATTACTGAATAAAATAGTAAAATTGTGACAACACAGATACCACTTGCATAAAGAAAATAATATAAGAAAAGAAATTTATTAGCAGTGAAGAAGTAATTGACAAGAAATTATTCTGATTTTTATTGCTTGATTTTGTGTAAAATCAGCATTGTTAATCCATTACATTGGTAATAAGTGTTATACAAAGATACGATACTGACTGCAGAAACCACACAATAAAATTTCAAAACAACTGGCAACACAAATTCCGTTCATTACTGGCTTTGGCCTAAATTAAGTTGGTTTTGGCCAGCAATAGAGTTACATGGGACAACGATCAAGAGCATAAAATACAATACCAGCTTAGACCCAATGTCATCTTACTTGACAATATAGAATTGAAAACCCTTAAGATATTCACATACATTGCAGCATACAAACCTCAATATGGTTTTTTGATGCTGCATACTGCAGTGCAGAGTGACCACCCTCATTGGTGGCGTTGACATCAACACCTTGTCCCACCAGCGCACGGACCGCTTCTAGTCGTCCAGCACTTGCAGCACACATCACAGGAGTCCAGCCTGTCTCATCTGCCTGCAAGATTATATTATATAGTATAAAATATAAAAACGATTTCAATAATATAATATAAGATGGTAACATAGCTGTGTCCATTTAGATAAAGCCAATTCATAACCACCCAGGCGCCTTGCTCACTTTGACTAGAATTCTCACAAAAAGTTGTTTGTTTTGAACTCCCAATAAGCTGCCCTAATCTTGGTGTCTTATTAGACACTCAGCCACCACACTCTCAGCAGTGGTACATCAGTGCCCCACAGTGATGTAAAAAGAACCTCATAAGATTCATGTAACAAATTCAATACAATGAACAGGGACTATACAATACACAGAAAATAGATATTCTATAAAGGAATAGGAATTATGTAACAATATAAATTCAATACAGGATTAAGAATTAAGAAAAGTACATGTACATAGTGCAAAATAAAGAATGATATTAATAATACCTACTCAAGTTGTCTACTGGAATTATAAACCTACTAGTTTGTATATAATATATAAGTTTCCTACAAAGTTCATTAGCTTATGTGGACATTCACTAGTAACCTTTGTTCAGTTGTCTTCATGTTATTAGTATTATTAGTATTGTTTTCTGAGTGTTCACTCCTATGTAACATTAGCCCTGGCAAAGACCTTCAAAATTAGCTTAAACTTGTTTATGAAATGTTTCATGGTATTGATGGTGAGAGGTTATTAACAAAAAGATGCTTAAAATTGTTCAATCTTACTCTGTTTGATGGTGGCAGAATAATTGACTACTGATTATACCATAATCTTGGATGTTATTTAAATTAAAAATAGAACAATAAAAATGAAAATTCAATACAGGAAAAAGCATAATAATCTCACCTTATAATTCTTTTACAAATGATTCCACTCATTCCAGTTTCCCCATAAATCTCAAAAACTTCAAAATACACATAAAAAAACATGAAGCATTTAAAAAAAGAAGAACACAGCACTTACTAGATCAGGATCAGCGCCTTGCTCCAGAAGCAGCTCTACAATGCCAAGATGGCCTCCAACGCAGGCCCAGTGCAGCAGTGTCCTTCCACTCTGAAAAAATAGGCCAATTAGGCAAGAAAATTCAAGAGTTTCCTATTACCGGTACTACATTTTGTTCCTATGAAATGAATCACTTTTGGATATTTTTTCACATCTAAGAGTTGCAGAATTGATTTCTTCATAAGTTCAGTTTAAAGCAAGTGTGTAATAGTTAGGATTACAGTCTTTACAGACTTACAGTATACATATAATGGGATATTTATTAATAATGAATTTTCAGTTTAGAGATGAGAAAGCACTTGCAGTGTGGATGATCATTTAATCAAAATGATTGAAGAAATACAGAACATTAGTTGACAATTTGACATGGCATAAAGAGCTTTAAAATAAGTACAATAATGGCACATTTTATACCATGATAGCATGATTAATAAAAATTACCAGTAAAACAATAGTTTCTACCACCTCCAGCAATATTAAAAAACCATGGAGACAACGGATGAATCAATTAACAGAATAAATAGGGTAAACGCGGTATATTCCGTCATCGTGGGTAATTCCATCACCTCTCTAGTTTTTCCTTTATATTAAGCTTTGTTTTAGTTCCATGCGTTCGTTGATGGTTGAAATGGTGACGTCATACATTTGCTCGTCGAACTAATGCCAAAACACTAGGTCTTGGCCNCAAATGTATGACGTCACCATTTCAACCATCAATGAACGCATGGAACTAAAACAAAGCTTAATATAAAGGAAAAGCTGGAGAGGTGACGGAATTACCTACGATGTCGGAATATACCGCGTTTACCCTACTTCATTAGGTACTTGCGTTCGGTTAAGTCAGAGACAATGCATAAATCAATTGACAGAACCTAAACAATTTTGAAAATTTAATCTTTTATATAATAAAAAAATTAAAAATTAAGTTTTTTTTTTCAATTATTGAGAATAAAATTAGGGTAAACGCGGTATATTCCGACACATTAAGGACGCATCAAGAAATGAAAAACTATAAAAAAAACCGTATGCGTTACATAAGTTCTGTTGCCTTCACATGACTTTCAAAACACTTCACTACGCGTCAGCAACGATGAAACGTCACAAAATATTGCCATATTTATTAAAAAGCCTTTAGAATGGAAACCTACCAAATCCCTATATTCCGTCCACTATGCAGAGGGTGGATGCAGCGTCGGCAATATATGGATTTTTAAGCCCAAAGCGTCGCCGGCCATTTTAAAGATGCGTCGCCGGGTAATTTTTAATGAAAAGCCATTTATGCTGAGTAATGACGAGCTATTTACAAGCCACGAACTTATTACAAGGTTGCATGCACGTGTTACCCCAAATAACTAATTTTACCCTAAAAACAGTCCAGTTGTACAGCAAGTGTCAACTGAACAAGTAATAAAGCAGTCTGACCGCTCTAATGCGACCGAAACTACGCAATCAAAAAATGTTGTTTACATTTTTTGTGGGAACTCATCGCAACTGATTTCCGGACAAGCTTCGCTGCATCGTAATCCATCCAACGTACCGGAAACTTTACTTTTTTTCTAAATAGTTGGCTGAAGACTGAGAAATATATTAAATGCAAGAATTTCAATCTAAATGTGTCGGCAAGATCTTCTGAAGGCGAAAATTTTGCCGATAATGCGTCACCGTAGGTCTTTAAATCTTCGTTCACTCTCTGCACAGTGGTATTCCGTCACTTTGTGTGGCAACATCCGACACGTGGTGAGTCGTATTGCGTCAGCGCTTCAAATTTAACTGATACGTATTGCTGACATCCACGTGTTCAAATTCCGTTTGCTGTGTGAGCTGTATTGGGATACAACACGGCTTTGAATTAGAACACTAACGAATACCTATTGAACACTACTTAATTACGTTTTAATTAACAGCTATTAGGCTTTTAATTAAGCAAATTTCAATTTTTGTAAAAAGCTTTGAACGATCTGTGTGTGTCCAATTCAAGTTGTGTCGGAATTAGTTTTCATGTGTCGAAATCCAACATCTCAACTTAATCATCTATTAATTTATTTACGACTTGAAATCAGCAAATACAAGTATACTTAAAGTTAAAGGATTCCTAATATATTCACAGTCCACAGACGTATTTAAAAGTCTCAAACCATAATATTCTTCCTATAAAAACAGTTATTCACTATTTGGTAGAGGCTAGAGCCATGTCAACTGTCAAATTTGACACATTTTTCGATGATCTCACCATGTGGCATGCATTGTCTCTCTTTGGATCTCAATATTTTCCCACTAGAGTGACTAGATGGCCAAGACCTAGTGTTTTTGCAGTATTTCGACATGCAAATGTATGACGTCACCATTTCAACCATCAATGAACGCATGGAACTAAAACAAAGCTTAATATAAAGGAAAAGCTGGAGAGGTGACGGAATTACCTACGATGTCGGAATATACCGCGTTTACCCTAGATAGAAATTCATTTTACCTACAAGTGTAAGGGAGTGTGTAACATTGGATGATTGGAGAGACTGAAAAAAAAACACTGGATTCTTTAGAAATAGAAGTGTTGTCTTTAAAAAGTAATTTTTAAATGCATATGGGCCTATTTAATGTGTAGCTAGGGCCTAGGCAGCTGCCATTAGGCTAGCCTATAGGCTAATCAAATTTTGAAAAGTCTGACCAAGGCAAAGGAATGGGGCTACAAGTACAAATGACTGAGGCTAAATGTAAAATGATGCAAACTTCAAGTTAGTAAATTTTTCATTAAATGTTTACAAGTATAAAATTTTCAAACTGCTTAATTTAGCTTTTAATTAAACGTGACGCGCGGAAGTTTCAAGAAAATGAGGTAATTACCTCATCTTTACTTTTAACTAGCGTTGTATCTTTCAATGCATCATTCACCAACTCAAATCGACCTTCTCGGGCATTATTGTGATGCTCATAATCATCCATTCCAGACCATAAAAATATATTCAAGAATTTAACTTCTAACCAAATTGTTAGCAATCGACTGCGAGTTTGAGATTCGCGCTGAGTCAGCTTCTAATAAAACTCGTAGAATTGTAGCATTCCGCATTTCAGGTATTATTTTGACATGGTTAAATTAATACATTAATTTAACCATGTTATTTTGAGAAGTACGCAGGTGAATTTTGAAAAAATAATATTGCTACATTTTTATTGCGAAATTACAATTTGTTCGCAGTCAAGAATATACAGTGCACAAAAAGATTTATATACTAGGATTTTTTTCATTTTCATATGGTGCCTAGTGTAACGCGAAGAATTAATTTATCATATCATATTTATCGTGATGTCGGCGCTGCAGAATGGGCCTGATGCGGCCTGCCTCAGATTCATGTACTTTTCGTGACTTGTTCACATGAGATCTAAAAACAGGTCCTTTGAGCTGATCTTTTCAAAACTGACGATAGCTTGAAATAGCTACTAGACTTCCTGGACTAGCTGTTTGATATGGTGCTAGGCATTTCAAGTCTGAACATATATTTCTCTATAGCTTTATTTAGTTTGTTCTTGAACACGTTCATACTCGAAGCGTCAACGGTGTAATCGGAGAGGCTGTTCTTGTTCTACATGTCGGTGACTCGAAACCAGAAGTTTCCTTACACCCCCTACATTTTAATATCAATACCAATAGTATAATTCTATCGTCGCACATCCCACGATGTCTACAATAATGTGCTTAAGCAGCGTCTTCCATTTTAACATGGGACTCGGCGTCAAAGACCCAACGTAAAACGGCGT